TCGAGCGATATATATCGATCGCACCAGTCGATTTCAAGGCTCCCGTTTTCTCTTCTTGTTGCCACAATGTTCCTTTCGTGGCTGGCAACTTGCTTCCCATGCCTGGCGATTGCATTCATGCCGCCTAAGAAAGCTACGGCAACAAAGGCGGCTCCGAAAGCAGCCAAGGCCAAGGCTAAGGCGAAGGCGAAGGCCGTTCCGCAGATGCCAGTGAAAACTGAGCCGGCAGAGCAGGCCCCGCTGGATGGTGTGGATCCAGCCGAGGTCAAGAAGATGCAGAGCAATTTGTCAACCCAGGGGAAAGCGAACTTGAAAAAACTCAAGGAGTACAAGGAGGGCAAACTCTCCTTATCACCGAAAGAGCTTGAGACCTTGGAATCCAAGGTTCAGTTTTACAACGAGTACGGGAATCTCGGCCGGAACCAGCACCACGAGAGAATGATGATGCTGGCCAGCTGGAACCAGGATAAATCCGGAAAGGCTTGGGCACAGAAGACGAAGACCTTCGAGACACAGACGAAGACCACAGAGGGGACCCTGGCCGGGTTCATGACCCGCACCTTTTCTGCATTGCTATGCAGGCATGCATGTAGAAATCGATACTAGATATATAGTATATGTATATACATGCATATATATATCTATAGGATCCTAGGAGTCGATCATGCATGCACTCGATCGTAACCTTGGTCTGCATGCCTCCTTTTGAACACATGAAGTTCAGGATTCGAGATCGCTCAGCATGAAAACATGGATGTGGACGACAAGCTGCTGCTTGCGATTTTGAACGAGACCCCCTTCGACTACGACTGGGACGAGTCCTCAGCGAGGGAGAGGGCATTGAAAAAACAGAAAGAGAAGCGATATCACTATGGCAAGAGGAAGCATGCCGAGACAGACTCCGTGACTTTGGAGACGGACGCCATGCATGCCGGTTTCGACTGCAATGACAAAGAGAAGCAGAACATGCTCCTCAACGAGGCCTCGGGATCCGGAGGGAACCCCACCGTCACAGTCGTGAACCCCGAGCTGGTGGAGTTCAAGGGTCAGCTCGGCATTTTGCAATCTGGCAAGATCAAGCTGGAAAAAATCGAGACGCAGCTGAAGGACTTGTCCGCCAGGGGAGCACATGCCGGTGTTACCGGGACCACGGCCACGGAGATGGACAACGCACTCAAAGAGCTGGACACTTGGCTCAAGGATGCTCGCCTCGCTTTGGCCACCCTTGACTCGATCCAGGCCCCG